GCTGCCTTTAGTTATGGGTGAGTTATCAATTTAATCTGGAATTCCCAAATCAGTTGTGAAAATCCTCACCTCACACCCAGATAGCGTGTGTAAGATATTTGGGCACAGGGACATTTACAAATGCATTAAAAAGCCCATTATGAAGTTGCACAAGACTCAACTGTACCTTTTTAGGGATTTTAAACAATTGGGCCTAGTATCCAAGGATCACAAAGTGCTTTGCAACAGTCACCCTGGTGAGCTAAGGAAATAGCTACAATTTTCCAGGTGGGGAAACTGAGGCACAGGAAAGTGACTTGTCTCAGTGGCAGGGCTCGGAATAGAATCCAGGAGCAGAGACAGCAGGCCACATACAGAAATCAGTGGCACAGCTGGACACAGAACCCTGCAGTCCTGACTACATATCCCAGCCAGGTCAGATCAGACCACCACAGTCAGCAAGGATCATTCCTGGGATCCCTGCTGATTGGGGTGGTCTAGGCTGATCAACCTGGACTATGTAGTGTCTGTATTATACACATTTCTGCAGGACTCGGATTGTCTCTTAGACAAACTGGGCGGTGACAAGAGTCACTGTGGGTCTAAACAGGACAACGCTGGGCAGCCCTGACGTTAACTAGCCTCTCACCATTTTGGAAACTCTTATTTGATGAATCAGAATTTCAATAGCAAATTACATTTCCCCCTCCTGCCAGTCAATCATCTTGCATGAATGACTTCCTGATTAAAGCTTTACGGGAAGTAACTGAGCTGCTTTGAAACAACAAGCCTGCAGCCAGCAAACAACCTCAGGTCAGGTCAGAATTTGGATGGGAGACCTTCAACAGAAGCCCCAGGGTGTGACAGAGGCGCTCAGTACCAATCCCAACGCCACAGTGTGGGCGTGCTGCGCTGCGCTGCAGAAGTTGCTGTCATTTGAAAATATCCTGACCATTTGTACTCCTTAAAAATTCCATGACACTTCCCCTAGGAGGGAGGTTTTGTTTTAACTCTAGTGTCCTAGCAAAATTTCAATTCGAGTAGTTGCAGATGGCCTACTTAAAAATCCTCCTCTTGAATTTTCAGCTGGATACAGTAATGTAATTTCTGCCTGCAAACAATTATGCTGTTAAAGTGCTGCAGTGTTCCACCCCAGAAGTGGCAGCATTTCAATGCTGGGTGAAGCAATCCAAACACATCCATCACCTGCTTCCCAGAGGGGGCCTGAGAGGGTTAAATGGAGGAATGTTTACGAACCATGTTGAGATCCTTGGATGGAGAGCGCTAGAGGAGGGCCAAAGTCCCTCGGTCTCTGTTTTCCCTCTTTGTCTATTTCAACTGTAAGCTCTTAGGGGAAAGCACTTTCTCTTCCTCTGTTTCTACAGCACACTGGGCCTCTGGTCTCGCTGGGGGCTTGCAGGTGCTAGTATAATAAAAATAGGTCAAAATTTTCCAAGAAGCCCAAGGTAAATGGGACCCATATTCCACTGAATTTCAACAGCTGCCTAATTCCCAGCGAAAATAAATAACACTAACATATTTGGGATTTAAAAGTGAACAGTAAAGCTTTCTAAAGATAGACTGCCCCCACCAAATCAGTGACACAACATAAGGCGCAGACATGCTATCTATAAATCTATCTAAGTGTCTGACTCTGCTACTCATCCCCCTAGTATCTGGGTGCCTTCCACATTAAATCAATAGCAATGGGGAGTCTTTGGCACTTGTTTGCAGAGTCAAAACTGCTCATGTTTCTGATCTGTTTATTTTTAGATGTTACTAATTTCTTCTTTTTCTTGGTGGGAGGGTTGTGAATGTCATTCTTAATTCATCGCCATACAGCTGTTGTTAAACGTTTAGGTTCTTACAGACGTGCAAAGACCCAAGTCCGGCATTTCCCGTGACCACAGTAGAAATACTGGGAATTAAACTGTTTCCCTGTCTTAAGGGCACATGATGGCTCAATCATTTTCCAGCAATGGACGTTATGAACTCTGGCCCTAGCAGACTGAAAAGCTTTTCAGTTCCCCCTTTAACTGTGAACATGATGGGTTTGAATGTGACCCTCACAGGCATGAAGCACATGGCATTGCTTCCCATGGCAAAAAGCTACATGAAAAGTGCATAGAGGCTTGGGTTTTAAAGGATGATTTTTGAGCCTCAGTCTTACCATGGTCTGAGGCTCTGGGCATGCTCTTGAAGCGAGGAACTCTCCTCCCAGAGCTGGGGATCAGAGTGTGGCCTAATGCTTAGGGCAGGCCACTGGGAGTCAGGATTCCTGAGTTCTATTTCCATTACTAAGGTTTTAATAACCTTACTGGGCTACTGAGCACCTTGGTGGCAGGGGAGTATTCAAAAAGAAAAAAAAATAAGAGATAGCTGTATAAATAATACAATGACTCGCCACTGGAGAATCTCAAAGCGCTTTACAGTGAATACTTATCTACCTAACAAAGGAGGGGAGCCCCACCTCCATTTGAGAGCTGGGAAAAGAGAGGCACAGGGAGGTGAGGGACTTGGCCAACGTCACCCCAGAGGCCAGGAGCAGAGCCAGGAACAGAACCTAGGTGTCTGGATTCCCAGCCTGCCGCCGTAATGGGGGCAAATGGATATCTTCTATACAGATGCTTCGAAAAGACTGTGTCAAAGGTAGGGCGGTCACCAACAGGAGGCTCAGAAATGCTGGTGGGAATCGCCATGGCATCTGAATTTCTGCCTGCTGCAATGAAATCATGTGTTCATTGCACTGTTTCAGGAGTGGACAGTTCAATGCAATACGTTCAAGGCTGGGAATCAACGAATACTGTATTCTTTTTCTGGCCTAGAAAAGAGACAATTACAATTTTTAAATAAAAATAAATACTATTTCATAGTTCACTGTCCGGGAAATTCTGCAGGACAAAGTCTATCAGCACAGTGTTACAATTTGATATCGGTGTGTGGGAGAGATGTAAAACACAGCAGAAAAAATTGTCAGACAATCATTGTACATTTAAACTAAACCTTTCATCCTGAAGGACACTAGACTAACCAGCTGCAAAAAAACCCAACAGTGAGATTGCTTCACCTGCCACTCTCAGATGCAGCTGACTCTGGGATCAGCACAATAGCTACTTAACAGTGCACAGCAACGCAAATCACTGCAAAACAATCCAATGTTGGGATTGCTTCACTGACGACAGTCAAAAGTGGTTGAATTTGGGGTGGAACGCAGTGCACAGCATCTCTAAACAAGTTTAGGGCAGGAAGTGAAGAAACCTGTTCCCAAATGCAGCTGCAAGGGGAATTTAGGCAGACTGGATGTAATGAACAGAACTGGAGTCTGGAAACCAGGACTACCCCGCAAATCTCATAAAGAGAACAGGAGATCTTTAATGACCATAAGAAGTTGTAAACTCCTTTCTGTGTGGTCAAGCTCCAGGGTTCAAATATTATGCATCTGGTCCCAAAAATCATGAGACTGGCTTTTTAAAAAAAAAAAAAAATCATCACAGGGTTCTTTTTTTTTAAAAAACACACAAAAATTATTGTATTCAACATTTTATTTGCTTTCTGATTTATGAGCCTTTAGGATTCATGTTTTTCAGCTTCTTTCTGCAGCCATGAAGGCTGAAAATTATTTAAAAAAGAAGAAAGCTGAGATCCTCATGGAATCACATGACTCCAAGAGCTGAGGCTTTAAGAAACACACCCAATAATGTGAGACTCAGGATAAACGTGTAAGAACTGGGGACACGGCCAGACAGGCATTCGTCCAGAAGATGGCCACTCTAGCAGCACATCAATGCAGAGAGCACGCTGTGTTGAGAACTGACTCAGTGAGAAGAGTACCCCCTAATAAGCCACTAACACCACTTCTTGGGACGCCCATCCAAGTACTGACCTGGTTTGGCTCTGTTTAGCTTAGGAGATACAAAAGACTCTCAGCCCAGGATGGTAAAAATTTGGAAGTGCCACTTCACTTCTCTAAGAGTCGGACTCTCGGGGAAGCTCTCTGCTCCAGCCAGAGAGATATGGAGGCCCATACAGCTGGAGAGTTGGCTTGTGGTTAAGGCATTAGAGTGGGACTCCCTGTGTGATCTGTGAAATGGTGAGAATAACCCTTCCTTTCACACACACTCAGCTATTTAGACTAAATTCTTCAGGGAAGGGACTCTCGCACCTGTGTGTATGCAGCTCCTGGCACAGTGGGACCTGGATCTCAGTTCGAGTTCTCTAATACAGATGATAATCACACTAAGATTCCTCCAGAGGTCCCGGGTGGTTCTTCAAATGGGAATGTAAATGTTTTGGGGGGTTTATGTGGAAGGCAGATAAAAATACCTCCCGCTTTTGTGCTAAGCCACCTGGTGGCCATCCACCATATTTAATTCATGGCTGTGCCGTCGACACAGTATTTAAGCCTTCCCCAGAAATCCAGCCCCTCGTGGCTATCAAGGAGTGTACAGCGCTCGGAGAACAGGGATGTCAGCCCAAATGTCCTGACCGAATTCCAACATGGAAAAATGCTGCCTTCCTAACATTGCTGCGGTAGTTTCAATTGGACACGGGATTCTTCTTCACTTGCTAGCTTACAATGCTGAGAGCACACTGCTGGTGTGTGCTGTTCAATGGCTGCTGCGTTCCAGCCCAGAAGTGGCTGCGTATCAGTAGTGGAGGCGAGGATTGCCTACCTATAGTCTGGGGGTGTTTAATACTTACCTGCTTCTGGAATGTGCTTTGAGAGCCTCAGATGGCAGGTGCAGTGGCCAAAGCTATTCCAGTGGTGGAGGGACAGGAAAGCATGTGGGCAAGCAGAGCCATGTTCCTACGGGAGGCCTTACCTAATGCTGTTCCTAGCTGTGAATGGTCATGTGTGCTCGATCAATGGTGGTGGTAACAGGTGGATATGGGAAAGACGGGGGAGGGGAGGAGGAGACAGACAGGAGGGAAATCAGACAGGTGGCATTTCTATGCAGTTGAAGGAAGCGTTAAGTAAATGATGCAGGAAATCCAAGCTGCGATGATAAAAAGTTTGGTACCTGCTCGTTGGGACGGAGCGGGAGCAGGGCTTAGAGTGATCACAATAACTGGATTGGGAAAAGGAAGAAAAAAACAACACGATAAATCACAACAGAAACAATCGAGTCATCAAAAGAAATCAAATCATATTCCGGGCGGGGGGCGAACTGATTCCAGGGGAGGGATGGAGAATGGTGAGAAACCAACAGAGGTCAACAGACAAGGTGAAAAATGGGATGCACCATACAGTGATGTACCTCGGAGCCCTGGGCAGCCATTCCCCAAGTGTCTCAAATGTGCAGGCAGCAGCTGTTCCCTTCCCATCTCCTTCCACTGCAGCAAACTCTCTGTAGACCATTCCTCCATGCTGGTGCCCCGGTCTCCCTGCCAACCTACCTGGGCCATGTCCCTGTTACCTCCCTCCCATTAAGTCAGGCACGCTCTGCCTCATCACAGTGCTTGGGCTGCTTACAATTTGGAGGCTCATGATTCCACCTCCTTCCCAACAGAGTCTGCAGGATTAATCTAAATCCAGAAGGAACCATTGTGATCATCTGGTCTGACCCCCTGAACAACAGAGGCCACATTTCACCCACTCAATCCCGCATCAAGTCCAATAACTTCTGGTTAAGCCAGGGCAGAATCTTTTAGAAAGACGTCAAATCTTGGAATTATAGACTTCAAGTGACAGAGAACCCACAACAGCCTTTGGTAAATTGTTCCAATGGTTAATTCCGCTGTACCTTATTCCTAGTGTGAATTTATCTTTCAGCCACTGGATCAAGCGATGCCTTTGTCTGACAGATTAAAGAGCCCTCTACTATCACAGCTCACCTCCCCACTTACAGACCATGATCAAGCCAACTCCTAATCTTTCTGACGATCTATGAGAGATTGTGCTCATGTCTCTTCCAGACCCTCTTCCCGATTCTGAACCTTTTCCAATTTTCAACATTCTTTTTGAAGTGTGGACATCAGAACTGGATGCAGCATCTGGCAATGTTCTCACTAATACTGTATACTGAGGTAACACCATCTCCCTACTCCTACTTGATATTCTCCTATCTATAAAGCTAAGGAGCACAATAGCCCTCAGCCACAGCACCGCACTAAGAGCTCACGTTCAGCTGATCATCTCTAATGACCCAGAGTCCTTTTTAGAGACACTGCTTTCCTGGATACAGTGCCCCATGCCATTACGATGACCTACATTCTTTGTTCCTAGGTGTATGATCTTCCATCGGGCTGTACTAAAAACACATGGTGCTCAAATGAGTCCAGCTCACCAAGAGATCCTGACCACTCCGTATAACTGACCTGTCCTTATCACTACTCACCATTAAACCAACCCTTGCGTCAGCTGCAAATTTTCCCAACACACATTTTATCTTCTAGACCACTGACAAATAGCATTGGGCCAGGAACAATTGGGGCCAATAGCACTGGCCCAGGAACATTGGGCCAATTACTTTTGGAGATCTATTTAATACTGGCTGCACTGATTTCATACAGTACCAACATTTTACTTACATAAAGCACAGCAGGGGGCTCACAGATTCCAACGTCAGAAGGGACCATTGAGATCATCTAGTCTGGCCTCCTGTATAACAGGCCAGAGACCTGCCCCAAAATAATTTTTAGAGCAGAGCTTTTACAAAACCATCCAATCTTGATTTAAAAATCGTCAGTGATGGAGAATCCACCACAACACTTGGTAAATTCTTCCAACGGTTAACTACTCTCATTGTGTAAAATATACACCTTATTTCCAATCTGAATTTGCCTAGCTTCAACTTTGTTCCTGGCTGCTTAAAGTGGTACAGTTGCCTGACAGGATTAAGAGACAGTAGCTCATCACGGAGTTCACCAGGTCTGGAAATTTTGCTTGAGACTCTCTCCGACGGATGTAGGCTAGGCAGGCGTCTGTCAAATCATTCGCTATAATTACAACCCCAGAAGGCATCTGATGCCTGACTTTTCCACCCCTCCCCCAACCTGAACAGAAGTGGCCACCCCCACCTCACATAACCTTTCACTTCCCAGCTCAGTGAGCGTCTTGTAAAAGGAGAATTAAATGAAGTACAGAGAACTGTACAGAATCCAAAACTGGCAGCAGATGCACACGTAGGCACAAAGCATAGCTCTGCTTTAAAGAGCAACTTCACTTACTCCTCAGGCCTGCCTCTGTATATGTGCTGGAGTCCGATCCGCTGACTGAAATAACTAAAATAGAATTTCCCTGCTTTTTACTCCTCCTAGCCCATAGGGAGAGCTGGATTTGCTTCCTTCTTGTGCATCACCAGGATTGTTTAAGTTCCAATCAGTTATGCCTGGACAAATGCACTAAGGGGACAGGAATCACCAAGGGTCACTTGATGCCCAAGAAGGAATGGATCCAGCTTGACTCAGACCCCAGGCTTAGTTTGTAGCACTGGAAATTAAGGGACGGCCACGCCCATCTGACTGGGGACCACAATGAACATATAGTCCCCTCCCCCAGGGCCATTTGGACAGTCACTTCTCAGTTGTACTCCAAGTGGATGTGACATTTTCAAATAAGAAGGTGAATGTCAGCAGCTCTTTCATGTCTCTGCCAAAATCATAGTTCAAGGGCTTGAAACTTCTCCTGCTCCATGGGCAGCAGAAGCCTTAGGGTTAGTTAGGGTTAGTCCCTGACCCGAAGAGCTTACAGTCCAAGATGCAACAAATGCAGCCTTGCCAACTGATTTAACTGCTTTGTAATGTTCCTTCAGGCCTCACTCTTGGAGTTGTGTGTGTACAAGAGAGTCTCCTCTTTCATTTTTAGAAAAGAAAATAAGTTGGGGGGGGGAGGGGGCTGAAAAACGTGACACCCCCTAACAGCTCAAAAAACAGAAGGCAAATAAGAAACATCAAATTCATATTTTTTCCCCAAAGCTCATGTTTTTTATGCCAGTCTCATGACTGGAGGTGGGGCTGGCCTAGGATTTTTATGGTAGGTGGTACCACAAACCACAAGCTCAAAAAATGGGAATAAGAACAAAGGTTAACATAGGCCAGATGTGGACACAGCTGGAAGGCTCTGTGTTGGTTTGATTTCTTTTATATGTAAATAAGAAATATACAAGATCAAGAGCAAAAATCTCCGCTGGCTTTCTATCTACTGGTTCCAAAGCCGGAAAGCACCACTGTGATCATGTAGTCTGACCTCCTATATAACACAGGCCACAGAACTTCCCCAAAATAATTCCTTTTGAAGTAGAACTGATCTTTTAAACAAGCAGCCAATCTTGATTTTAAATTGCCAGTGATGGAGAAATACAAGAAAGAAAGAAAGAAAATAAATGGAATGAAAGAAAACAATGCAAACCCAGGCAAGATTAGTCCGACCTAGAGGCCAAGCACCCACTAGACGGCAGGGATGTTATGACCAGGCTCAGCTTATGGGAAGAACAAGCCATGGACAGGAATGAATGGTAATGCTGTACTGCTCCCAGTGTCTGCAAAGATGCTCTGGGATTAAAAGAAGAAAAAGTGATGGAGAATCCACCACAGCCCTTGATAAGTTGGTCCAATGGTTAATTACCCTCACTGTTAAAAAATCTACACCTTATGCATGTTATACCTTTGTCTGCTAGACTGAAGAGCCCATCATCAAATATTTGTTGCCGATGTAGATACTTACAGACTGTGATCAAGTCACCCCTTAACCTTATGTTTGTTAAACTAAATAGATCGAGCTCCCTGAATCTATCAGCTGGCATTTTCCTGTAGGCATCTCTGGATCTCAAGGAGGGATCTGAAGCAAAACAGGATTTGCAGACAAGTTTAGAGGGGATGTACCACGCCTAGGAGAATCAAAAATGTTTGTGGGAGAAGTGTTCACATTAGCCTTTTAAGCTCCTCCTTTCATCCCCCCCCACCCCCATTTCTTCACTCACAGCGTCTAGTAACAGACCTGTCACTTTCAATCCATTAGAAGAAGTATGTCCAGGGCAAATTGCTTCAATCATTTCTTTGAACTGTTCATTTTGTGTGTAGTATTACTAGCACAAAAGAAGATTCTCTGCCATTCAATAGTTGTTATGCCATAATCACTCACTGATCTTCGTCCTTGTCCCAAATGGCAAACTAAGACCACTTGTGAATGAAGAGAGCAGGGACTTACACAATCACTGTGGCTACGTCTTGACAACAGCAACCTCAAAAAATGCCTTGCTTCAGGATCAAGCTCACCTATGTTTTGTTCATCCATTTCAATAGCAAGAGTTTCATTCAATGGGACATTTGATCTTAAATCCGAAGAAACCAATTTTCTAGTCTTTTAGAGATGAGCACAAATCCCTTCTCTCTTGTTGCTCAACAACTCTTGGCAATGTTCACACTTTATTTCAGAAGAATGATCAAATGTTGTGATTTCAGCCTATTTTGATTGCTTGCTTGCTACCCTTTCCTTCAATACTAGGCAGGTCCAGTCAGAAAAACTCAGGGTGATGGCTACAGCATCCATTTGCAGCACTGATCAGTGGCTTTCACATTTATGACAGAATAAGACTAGCCTGGAACAGTCTTTAAATAGGAGTAAAGGAAGCTAGCTACCTAATTCGTTTTAAGATGGAGCTTGATGAATTTATGAACAGGATGATATGCTGGGGTTGCTTGCAACAGTAGGAGACTGCACTTCTCGAACCAGGAGGACCCTTCAAGTCCTATACTCCTAAACCACTCTCAACCTGAATTCAGCAGTGACGACAGAGGAAGTAAGAGGAGCTGGCTAGCTTCATACAGAACCACATCATCAGATCCACCTCCCTGCAGTTCCTAGAGTCTAATAAACCAAAATCCACTCACGGTTCACTCCCATCTCTTCAATATCCCCTGAGTCCACCCCTAGGCCCACCCCTTCAACCACTCCACCCATTCTCCTTTCCCCTGTAAGTTTCTTGACAGATAATTCGCCACTTGTTTCTTAATAGATCTAATAAGTCTCTTAATGTTCTCACAGCTTCCCTTTAAAATAGCGACACTTTTCCTTTACAGAAAGCAATCGGAGCCTGATGTTTCAAAATATCTTCCTCACTGATGATAG